TATCAAGTCTGTCACTGTTGTCTTCTTCTCTTGAAAGCTTATTAGCATCATCAATGAAAGCCAATGTCACTGCCATGTTGTTTGCTTCTACACTTTCCATTATTTATTTCCCTGTAATATAATATGTGTATTATAATCACGTAATTGCTTCTTATTTCGTTGCTTTATAATCGTTAGCTAATTCTAATATCGTGCCAATTTCCTGTAATATTATGATCACACAATTTCCTAACTAAAATCCTAATATCGTGCCAAAACAATTGTTGTGTGTTTCTAATTTATATAGACGCATAGCTGATGAAAAACAAATGAAGGAGAATAATGCTTACTTTTGATTTGGTGTTAGTGATAGCTGATGAAAACAAATGAAGGAGAATAATGCTTACTTTTGATTTGGAAAATGTGCGGCAGATTTATATTGATCTTTCCTTCTCACGGTTTGTTTAGTTGGCCTTTAAGCTTGAATATGGGGACCGTCGTTATCAGTAACTTAATGTATACAATCTGAATTGCATGTCTTAAAATTGATATTTCCTTCTCAAGGTTTGTTTAGAATATAAAAAATAAACATAATGTTGAATATGGACGTACACTTATGGGGACCGTCGTTATCAGTAACTTAATGTGTACAATCTGAATTGCAGTTTACAGTCAAATTGAGTAGGCAGTTTTTATCCGACTTGCTACAAAATTCAATTCAGTTGCCTTAACAACATATATATTGGCTGCTATACTCTTATCTACTCTTCCTCTTTAGTGTCTATCTATGTAGGCCCCATGCATGCACCAAATTCTTGTGCTGCGTGTAACAATTATCATCAATATTGTTTTGTAATATTCTATTCTGATTTCAGTTAGTTGGGAAATTAACTAGTTGATTATTCCTTTATTGAATAATTTGAACCTCAATTTTCAAATAATATAGCTAACATATCAGATGTATAATTCAACAATAATGGTTGCGTCGTTGCATCATCATCATCATCATGTCCACATTATAAATTTGATTCCTCATGTTACCGGCCAATTTTAGAGATATTTAACTTATTAGAAATAATGTATTTCAATCTGGTAGGATACTTAGCTGGAAGAGGGTTATGACAATCTTGCCAAATAAAAAAATTGAACACTTGTATAAGGTGAGTTTCACATATTGAATTTTGATAATCGTTAGAAACATAATCTTGATGTACAAATAACAACTCATGAATCTGCTTCTGCAGGTAGTATGTTCACCCTTAAAATTTTATCTCCACAATTAATAGTCTTCAACATAAGTAACAAAAATTGGTTGTAGTTAATTCCCAGTATTATTAATTCCCAGTATGTAGTTAATTTCCAGTAATATTAATTCCCAGTGAGTATTGGTTCTTTCATTAATTTCTAATACATTATTAATTTATGTTAACATTATTAATCCCAGTATGTAATACATTATTAATTTCTAACTTTTAATGTAAAGTTTGAGTATTGGTTCTGTTAAGGTTGTGCAAAGTGCAAGTTTTTATGCAAATGTTGTGTGTCTTGTCTTTGTTCTGAGATTATTTTGGCTGATTATGTCACAGAACAACTAGAATTCATTGTTCTATCTTAAGTACCGGAGATTTGAAGTATCAGGAGAAGTTCAGACCCTACAGACTGAAGTTACAACTACTTATGCCCATCTGACATTATATCAGGTTTGTATCGACATCCATCTATAAAATTTGTTGGACTGTTTTTCTGATATTTCTGAATTTGATGTGAATTCCTAGTTTATGTTACTTGTTGCACTAGATGAGCATGTTCTGTGTTAATAGTAAAGTTGTAGTTATTGGCAGCAGGAACCCTTTGGTAGGCTAGTTTTTATATGACAAAATGAAACAATTTTGACAAATTGAACACTTTGGGTTGCTCTACTGTGTTTCTTTTCTCCTTGTTTTGCTTATACATTTTTTTCCATAAATGGTAGTATCCCCGTAAACCTGATGGACAAAGAAAAACCCCGCGAGTAAAGAGTACCAAAATGGTCTTGATTCTTTTCTAGATTATGCATACACGAAAGGAAAGCCTCGCGGGAAAGAGATTTTGTGTCCTTGTGCTAATTGTTACAATAGTAATTGGTTTACAAGGAATGAAGTGAAAAATCATTTAATTGCATTTGGATTTCAAAAGGGATATGACGTTTGGGTTCGACATGGTGAGAAGAAACTGAAACTCGATGGTCTTAATGATAATCATATGAATGAAGAAGAGGATCAAATTGACGATATTGATGGACTATTGCATGAAAGATTTAGAGATGTTGTACAAGAAGAAAACGATGTAAATGTAAGCCTCAATGAAGATGCAAAAAAGTTCTATAATCTTGTCGAAGAAGCCAAACAAGATTTGTATCCCGGTTGCAAAAACTTCTCTAAATTGTCATTCACCATTCGTCTTTATTTATTGAAATGTCTTTATGGTTGGAGCAATGTATCATTCGATGCTCTATTAGAGTTGTTGAGAGAAGCCATGCCTTCATTAAACATCCCTGATACGTTCAACAAAACTAAAGGCATGATAAGGGACTTAGGGCTAGATTATAAGAAGATCGATGCTTGCCCTAATGATTGCATGATATATTGGAAAGATCACGTGAATGATACTTCTTGCCATGTTTGCGGTGCTCCACGATGGAATGAAGATATCAAAGGAAATGATCATGTTGAAAAAGATCATAAGTCTCATAAAGTTCCTTCAAAGGTTTTGAGGCACTTTCCGTTGATTCCTAGACTTCAAAGACTGTTTATGTGTTCAAAGACAGCTAGCTCATTAAGGTGGCATGATGAAGAGCGTTCGAAAGATGGGAAGTTGAGGCATCCTGCAGACACAAAAGCATGGAAAGAATTTGATAAATGTCACCCTGAATTTGCTGATGAGCCACGTAATATAAGACTTGGATTGGCCAGCGACGGATTTAATCCATTTAGAACCATGAATTTGTCTTATAGTACTTGGCCTGTGGTATTAATACCATATAACTTTCCACCTTGGTGGTGTATGAAGGCTGAGTATTCTATGTTGTCTTTATTAATCCCTGGACCACTTTCACCAGGGAATAACATTGATGTATACCTTCAACCATTGATAGAAGAGTTGAAAGTGTTATGGGATTTGGGTGTAGAAACATATGATGCATCACTAAGTCAAACTTTCCAAATGCGGGCAGCTCTCTTGTGGACTATTAGTGACTTTCCTGGGTATGCTATGTTGAGTGGGTGGAGTACAAAAGGGAAACTAGCATGTCCTTGTTGTAACTATAACACTAATTCAATATATTTGAATTATAGTAAAAAGGTGTGTTATATGGATCATCGTGTTTTTCTGCCTGAGGATCATAAATATATGTCAAATGCTAGGAATTTCAATGGGAGCATAGAAGATAGGCCACCGCCGGAGTTGTTAACTTGGGAAGAAATCTCAAATAAACTAAAGTATGTCAACAATTCTTTTGGGAGGTTGCAAAAGAAAAGTAATAATGGTCCATGGAAGAAAAAATCAATATTTTTTGAGTTACCATATTGGAAGCATAATAATTTACGCCACAACCTTGATGTGATGCATATAGAGAAAAACATTTTTGATAGTATAATTGGGACTTTGTTGGATATCCCAGGAAAGACAAAAGATCATAAAAACGCACGTTTAGACTTGAAAGAGATGGGTATTAGAAAGAAACTTCACCCAAATGAGGTAGATCAAGGAAAAAAGTCAGTGTTTGCAAAAGCATGTTTTTCCATGACTACAAAGGAGAAAACTACTTTTTGCTCTGTATTGAAAAATGCAAAAATACCTGATGGTTGTGCTTCAAACATTTCAAGATGTGTTCAACTTGCTGAAAAAAAAGTTAGCGGATACAAGAGCCACGATGCACATTTCATGTTGCATTACTTGCTTCAAGTGGCTGTGAGATGTACAATGCCAAACCAGGTTGCACATCCATTAATCCGTCTTTGTTCATTTTTTCGTTGTTTGTGTCAGAAGGTGATTGAGGTGGCAAATTTGGATATCTTACAATCTGAGATTGCAGAAACACTTTGCCAACTCGATACAATTTTCCCCCCGAGTTACTTTGATATAATGGTTCATTTGCCAATACATCTAGTGAATGAGGTAAGAATGGGAGGACCTGTTCAATTTCGGTGGATGTACTTTCCAGAAAGATATCTAGGAAAATTGAAGAGTTATGTTCGTAATAAAAGTCGTCCTGAGGGTTCTATTGCTGAGGGTTATTTGGTTGAAGAATGCTTGACATTTTGCTCTCGGTATTTGCATAGTGGTGTTGAAACAAGATTCACTAGAATGACAAGAAATAGCGATAGATTTGATCTTCATGAACATGAAAGTCCAAGCTCTTGTCTTAACGTTGGTCATCCTATTGGAGGAAAGAGAAAGGGTGAAGCAATTTCGTTGGATTGCAAGTCAAGGAGTTTAGCCCATCGTTACATCTTATTCAATCATGAAGATGTCCAAAAATTTATAAGGTAAATGAATATACTTGTAGGTTCCAATTTCGTAAAAGATTTGTTTTACAATAACTTTAACAGTATAATTTTAATTGTAGTGAGCATGAAAATTAAAATTCCAACAAGAGAAAAGGGTGGAGCAAAGCAAAGAGTCAAGGCTTAGATTTTGTTGAATGGTTTAAGAAGCGTGCATTGTTAAGTGATGTATCAGGAAACCTTAAGACGCTATCCAGAGGACCAAATAAAATTGCACGAAGTTTTTCTGGCTATGTAATTAATGGATATAGGTTTCATACAAAAGGACGTGATGCTAGACGTAAAACACAAAACAGTGGTGTGACACTAGCGGCAATAACTGAAAGTTATTCAAGTACCAAAGATGAAAATCCAATAACACAATCAATAACATACTATGGATTAATTACAGAAATAATTGAGGTAGACTACTATGGTAAGTTGAAGTTTGTGTTATTTAGATGTGATTGGTTTGAAGTTGAAGAGGAAAAATATGGGATGACTTGTGTTTACTTCAACAAGAGGTGTTATGTGGATGATCCTTTTGTCTTGGCTTCTCAAGTCCACCAATGCTTCTACATTCAATATCCTTTTGATGCAAATAAACACTATGTTATGAAGTCTATTCTGAGGGATTTTTTTAACATGAATGAACAATCAAATTCAAATCCCCATCAGCCGTATACTTCTGATCTATCAGATCATGCAGTGAATCTAGCTTCGAGTGATGAAATTTGTGAAGTTGAATTTGTTAGGAATGACATTCCACCCACAATTGTTGATAATTTTGTACCTGCGCCAAATGTAATAGAATCTGATGACGATTCAAATTTATGACAATTTTTTATGTATGTTAACTTCATCACTATTTGAGAACAAGTTACAAGAGATGGAAGAAAAACATCGTCAAGATAAAGAAGAAACTGATAGGAAAATTCAGGTTCTTCTTAAGACTGTTTTGAATCAAAATACCTCCGAGTTGAATATAGAGGCTTTGGCAGCTTTGATATCAACTCCTGCAACTGATGCTAACAGTGTCTTACGTTCTTCTACATCAACACATGCTCCAACTAATGATCAAGTAAAATTTGTTACATTCCTATGTTTTAAGGGATTTTATATATGTGGATTATTTACTTGGAGTGGATTATTTTATTTTTGATCATTCAAATAATAATCTTATTTTATTAATATTATTTTTATTTTGCAGGTCATGAATGATAATATCAATGAAGATTTTGAATTTGAAGATGAAGAAACGTAGATGTAGATGTTTAAGTTTAATTTTATAGATTAAAGATGTTATTTTGACTATGAATGATGATTGATATTGGGATCGATATGTAATTTGAAGATGTTTTGTTGACATTACGATATGTAATTTGAAGATGTTTTGTTGACATTACGATATGCAAGATCAGGTCTATAAAAAAATTAAAGATGTTTTTTTTTAAATGTTTTGTTGGATCATTTTCAATTTAAAGATGTTTTGTATTTGAATATTATTATATAAAAAAATTGTGAATGAGGTTATTATCAGGTTTATAAAATAAAATAAAAATTTATTTTATTAAAAAATAAATAAATTTATTTGGTTTATAAAATAAAATAATTTCTTTTGCAACAGTTACAAAGTGTGTCTGTAGTAAAGAAGGCGTTGCTATAACCTATGAAGAAAAAATGAACTTAAGACTCTATTAGAACGGTTTAGAATAGGCTACGGCTAAGAACCGTAGCTATATTCCATAAAATAGACGTATTCAAATAAACAACAATTGCAACGGTTTAAATTTGAAAACGGCCTCCAGCCGTTGCTGTACCAAACCGTTCTCTTTATAAAATTACAGCAACGACTCTGAATAAGGCGTTGTCGTTGACTAATAAACCGTTCCTAAAGGCTAAAACAACGCCTTGGTTTAGAACGCCCTGAAAACCGTTCTCATAGATAAAGGCAACGGTTTTTTTAGATTTTGCAACGGTTTTTTTGTGTTGCTGTATATTCAAAATGTTGTAGTGAACATCTGTATATTCCGCTGAGGAAGAGAGAAACTTAACCAAGCAACTTTGACGGGAAAACAAGAGAAATTTAAACAAATAACTCTGTTATGGGACAAAGAGAAACTTAACCAAGTAACACTGTGGGGAAATTCATAACAAAATGAACACGTCCATCAAAATGTACCATGGTCTGGATACCATATCGTCTGCAAGGGTAACACCTCACATTGTCAGAATCTGGATATTCAACGAACAGAATGAATCAACGAAATTTTTCAGAGTCTGAATACTCAATGAAATTACCGGAGCCCGAACGCTCAAGGAAGGGACCGGAACCTGAACGCTCAACGCAAGCCGAAGCCTGATTGCTCAACGTAATGACCGGAGTTTGGGTACTAGACGGACAAGGTGAATCAATACACGAATTGCCGGAGTCTGGGTACTCAACAAGCAAACCAGAGCCTGAATGCTCGGCAAAAATGACCGGAGTCTGGGTACTCAACGGACAAAGGGATTCACAAATCAGTTGTCAGGAGCTTGTTTGACTTCTTCTGCCCCTGCAAGGCGCTGCATGTTTTATAGATAATGAAAAGTGTATGTTAGGAATCCAATATATGTTCTATTGCATTGTAATGACACTACATGGTTGCTGTTATTATACTATGTGCTAATGTGCGGAGACAGAGATTAAGAGGGATAAAGAGAAAAAGTTAGTTCTCACTCTCATATGCATTGGTCCTTTATCTGATGGCTGCAGAATGTAATAACAATGATAAGGAGCCTCTGTAATTGTTTCTAAATCACAATTTGAAGAGCATATCAAACCCTGGTCCATTGAATGTAGAACACTAGAAAGGCCTTGAGAAACTGTCAAATCGTAGCCATGTTAGGAAAAATGATAAGCTTTGAAGAATTTGACCAATAAAAATTGAACAGCAACAATTCAGGACTAATGACAATGACGTGGGTGATAGAACTTCAAAGAAGAAGGATCCTACTACTCACGTTGAGCATTCATGTCTGACTGATCAGCGTCATCGGAATTGGTTTCGATCACGTGATAAGAAGATGCAGTCACGACAAATGAAGCCCCCAATATTAGACCTGCATTAAAACTCAAAAATCAGAAAACCAATTTTTTGTAGAAAACCAGAGAGGTTAAGAACAAGACGTTGGGTGCACCAATATTGCTTAATCAGTCTCAGTATCCCATCATAAAGACAGTAATTAAAAATTGTTCTGGTCGCCATTGAAGTAAATTTATAACATTGTTCAGTCTCTGCTACCGAAAATCACAACCTGAGGTTCAATATTGGGTTCTACAAGAGATTGATTTTGACAACCAAGTGCACTTCTCAATTTAGCAGATTCTTCAAACTTTCTATCAACAAATTGTGTATGTGGTGTCTGAACATCACAATTCGGGTGAAGTCCAACAACCACTATGCTCTCAAACAGTTGCGACGGCTTCTTAAAAGACCTATGACCCTGTGAAACCAATAAAAGCGGGTGTATGAAAACAGTAAAGATACGACTCGCATACTGATAAATAAGGAACATATAAGAAGACAAGATGGTGTAAGAAAACAAGTACAAGCAAACAAATCCTGAGGAGGAAAGAAATTTCTCAAGTAATTAACAAAACTAGATGGTGTAAGGAAAGAAATAATGAATTCCTGAGAAAATATTCACATTCATACACACCTGTCAAGCAAATTAATATTAAATATAAAACAGAATACTGCTTTATTCAATACACTCACAGAAGTTTTTTTCAGTTCTACTGATACTAAGTTTATCCAAGGGTAATTTTTCAAGTATGATATTTGCTTTTTCATATCTGCGGCCAGATACATGTGATAATTTTTCAAAAGCTATCACGGCAAGCTTCAAAAATTTACCGAACATTTCTACTATACACAAATGAGCTTGTAAGCTAGTCAAATCTACGAAATACCAGACACAACCTAAATGGTGAGACGACAACGACAATAAACATTTTTCTACTAAACATTTTTACCTTGCTTGTTTGTTCTAACAAGTCCTCTATAGCAGTAGCAACATCAGGACCAGCATGGGTTACCTCCCGAGCATCTTTGAGCTTATTATCTTTAGAAAAATTCAAGTCAGAGACATGAATGCCTGAAATTACGACGTGTTTCTCCTGAATCATTCCACCTATCAGATGTACTACGACGTGTTTCTCCAAAGTTCCTTGTCGATTGATTATCTACCCATCACTCCACTCTCCGAGCATCACCTAAGCCCTTGTCTCCATCGCTCTTCATCCCTCCAACGGTCATGACGTCCACTTTCAGAGTCAAGCACGGATGGCCTAAAACAGAATTGGTGATAAGAACTTCGGTTATTAAAACAGAATTGAATTTTTTAACCAATTTCAAAAATTTTACCAAAGCAGAATCTAGGAAAAGTAAAACTATTGACATAAGTTTCACAGTGCACAGATAATCATGTAAAGAATCAGAACACAGTTTATCAGTTACTAACTGTTTTTCCATCTATAACTCTTTTCCACTAAAAGTAAATAGTATAGAATAAACAAAAAAACCTAACAGTTCATGATTTCAAACACGATGAAAAAGCATAGACGTTTTAACACGTCGCGAAGATCTAAGAAGCTTTTAATCCAACAAAATAATAACTAGCAGAAGCTAAGAATTAGGTTTAGGATTAAATTAAAATCGATGTTAATCGAAAGTGAGAAGAAGCTAGGTTTTAGTGGTGGCATAAGAGACAGTGAAATCAGAGACGAAAACCTTTGGAGATCGGAAAGGGATGAGCGGTGGAGACATGGAGGGAAGTGGCGGAAGTCCGGTGAGACATGGTTGATCAGCGGCGAGAGAGGTTAAGATTGCGATTGATTGAAAATAGGGTTGGGTTTGGGAGAAGCTCGGAAGAAAGGATTAGGGTTAATATGGGATGAAGAACAAAATGTTAGGGTTAGAATCAATTTGGGATGAATGTGTCTTCTCTTTCTCTGTGCGCTAGAATAAATTTGGGAGGGAATTGGAAATTTTACTCAGGTTTGAGAGGGAGAATGAAAAGTATACACATATGAGAACGGTATTAGTAAATAATATTTTATTAAAATAATTTAAAATTATATAAGAACGGCTCTAGCCGTTGCTAATAGGAGCCGTTCTCATTGTCCTCTACCAGAACGGTTTCGGGCCGTTGTATAAAATTTACAAAAAATTATATAAGCTACCGCAACAAATTATATAATTAGTTGCCTATTACTCCCTACGAGAACAATTTTTTTACTTCCTAAAAATTAGGCGTTGCTATAGAGTAAAAATGTTGTAGTGTTTGAATCATGACATCTTTTCATGTATTTGTACACTTTTAGAAAGGTGTTAAAGCATTATATAAACCATACTTTTCAGAATTCAAACTCATCTCTCTTTCATAGCAATTCAAAAGTTATATTCTCTCATTTTCAAAATCAAGTGTTCTTAAGATAACTTATTGTTGAAACTTTTGCACATCAATTTTATTACATTCTCAAATAGTTTCAACTACATAAATCATTGATCACTTGTACTACATATTAAGAATTGCCTACTTGATAGAGAAGATTAATTCTAGAAATTGATATGCATTGTTATACAAATTCAAACACTTGTAAAAATTCAGATTGTTATAATTTTCTTGTTGTCCAGGATTGTTGGAAGTAAGAGCGTGAATAAAGGAGAATTGTTCTCTTGTTGTCCATGATTGTTGGAAGCAAGAGAGTGAATAAGGGAGGATTGTTCTCCTGTTGTACTTTGTAAAGATCATAAGGGGATTGTCCTTATTAATTGTGTTGCTTATATTAG